GGCTATAGTGACTTTAAAACTATGATTATAAGCAATAATTTATAACAATATATCTGAAGTTCAATCTCTTATTCTTACTTCCAAAGTATTTTTTTTCTGTATGATGATGTAAACATAATTGAAAAGTCAATCAAAAGGTAAAACTGCACAAAACTTCACCTACCATCTTTCCTCCCCATATTGCTTTAAATAGATATTAGACAAAGCCCTGTGCAGTAGAGGCTACGCCACCCAACGTAGAAAGATCCCACCTCCTTTCTGTATTTTCCTATTGCTACCATGTGATAGATTTTATATATGTTAAAATTGTTATGATTTTCATCAAGTAGAGATGCTACTTGCTAAGAGAATCATATTTTAAGTTATTGCAAACCCAGTTTCAGAAAAAAGCACCCAAATAATTTTCTGAGGTATAGTCTTGGATTGGTCAGCCTACTCTTTGCTTGCTCTAAAAGTTATGTAATATACTAATATCATGAAACATCAATGGAAGAATATCCATACAGGTAGTAGATGTTCAGCGTTTATTATTGAGGAGATTTGAGCATCAAATACACACAGACTGCTATTTAAAAGAGGCATTCCAGATTAAGCAAGATTGATACCATGTCTAACTCTGTAGTCTTCTAAGGAGGAAGTAATTTTAGAACTAGGATGCCATTTCTTTATTATGGTAATACGACATGGTCAATTTTCTTTAAATCATTGACATTACTTTTCAAAAGTAGGCAAAACAGAAAAAAACTAAAAAATGACAAAAGAGAAGATTGAATGGAGATATAATTAAGCCAGAAGAAATGTTTACTTAATGGAAGAATCAGTGATAATGTGATATTTAAATAATTCAAGTGTATAAAAACTGCCCACTTAAAACAGAAGTTCAACAGGCTTCAGACAAAATACCTATGTTTAAACTCTTCCTTTATGTTTTTACATAAACTTTTAGCTCCTCTGAACATTAGTTTTCTTAAGTATAAAAAGAGGATTATAGAAACCCGTTTCATATATACCCCCAATTCATTGACTTTTCTCCTTCTCCATTCTTATCTAGCCTACATCACCATTATAATTTGTGTGCATCCCCACAAAAGCCTCTTAAATAATTTCTCAGCTTCTATATTTGCCACGCTTGCTCCCTCTCCCCATTTCAACTTTCCACTTAGAAGTTAGTGTGAACTTTCCAAAAATTTCAGATTAAATCAATCTCCTTCCCTGTGTAAAATCTAATGTTTTCCATTGCATTTAGAATAAAATCCAAACTCCCTACTCTGACTTAGCTCTCTGACTTTATCGATCACTATGGTTCAACCACAGGTCTTTCAGTTCCTGGAATTTAATTCCTATCCTAAGACCTCTGCACTTACTGCTCTCTGTGCTTGGAGTGCTCTTGGGGTTTTATATATCTAGATTTTCTTAGCTAAAATATCAGCTCCTCTAAGGTGTTTCCACATTACCTAGTCTACAATCAACTTTAGCCCCCCTCAAGCCCAGGAGTCACCTAACATGTTAAATTGTATTTTTTTTCTTCATAGAATTTACATGAATTAAATTATGTTATATTATAATATTTATTTGCCTGTGTATCAATTGCTTTATTCCATCAGAATCTAATTCCTTATGAGAATTAGCTTCTATAACTAGCACTGTATATGCTCAGAATCTAAAACAGTTGCATAAACATAATGCATGCTGAACAAATACTTGTTCAAGGAATACTCAAAGTGTGATTGTAAAGATAATGTTTGCAAAGTTACCTAGAGTGAGCAAAAGAAAGATGTGAAACACTGTAATACCTATTGTAAGGATATTGTTGAGACCATTATTTGATTTTGAGAACACCATTCTAAACTCTGAGAACAGTTTCACTCTATACTGGTAATTGTTTTGTTTAAATCACATGGCATTGAACATAGTCTGACTGGCAAGATTTTCTTAGAATGTTCAGAAGCATTTTATAGCTCTACATTTTCCACTCCCATTTTCCTTTCAATCCTGTCTCCACTTTGCACCAGTTCACATTTTCCTTCTGTAGGCTTACTTTCAATCCATGCTATCTTGCTGTATTTTATGAAAAATTATCTTCCTGGAATAGAGAGGAAGAATAACCAGAATAAGGGATTCAAAGCCCCAATAGTTAATATTTAGTTAACATAAGGCAAATCTGAATTTGAATGTAAAACTACAATAAGAATCCATAAAAATCAAATTAGAATATCAATCACAGCACCTTACACAAAGCAGGCACACAAAATAGTGTTTATTTCAAATCGGACTAAATCAAACTTAAAAGCTTTTGCACAGCAAAGTAAACCATAAACAAAATGAGAAGACAATGTGTGGAATAAAAGAGCACATGCACAAATGATCCAATAAACAAGGGCTACATTTCCAAAATATACAAACATCTCATATAGTTCAATATCAAACAAGCTAACAAAAAACAACTCAATCAAAAATGAGCTGGTGATAAGTTGTTGTGTAGCACAGGGAGCCCAGTCTGGTGCTCTGTGATGACCTGGAGAGAAAGGATGGGAAGAGGGGAGGGAGGCTCGGGACGGAGGGGCTGCATATAAATTTACGGCTGATTCCTGTTGTTGCATGGCAGTGGCAGAAACCAACACAATGTTGCAAAAATAGGCAGAAGATGAAATAGATATTTCTTCAAAGGCTACATAGAAATGGTCAATAGGCACATAAAAAGCTCTTCAGCAACTCTAATTATTACAGAAATATAAACTGACAATGAGGCATCACCTCACACTGCTCAGAGTGGCCATTGCCAAAAAACTCTAGAAATATTAATAAAAATCTTGGAGAGGGTGTGGAAAAAAGGGAACCCTCCTACACTGTTGGTGGGAATGTAAAGTGGTGCAGTCACTATGGAAAGCACCTTGGAGATTGCTTTAAAAACTAAACATAGAGTTCCCATGTATGTGTGTTTAGTTGCTCAGTTGTGTCTGACTCTTTGTGACCCCACCAAGCTCCTCTGCCCATAGGATTTTTCAGGCAAGAATACTAAAGTGGGTTGCAGTTTCCTTCTCCAGGGAACCTTCCTGACACAGGGATCAAACCAAGTCTTCCATGTCTCCTGCATCACAGGCAGATTCTTTGTCAGTTCAGTTCAGTTGCTCAGTTGTGTCTGACTCTATGCAGCCCCATGGACTGCAGCACGCCAGGCCTCTCTGTCCATCACCAACTCCCGGAGCTTGCTCAAGCTCATGTCCATCGAGCTGGTGATGCCATCCAACCATCTCATCCTCTGTCATCATCTTCTCCTCCCACCTTCAATCTTTCCCAGCAGCAGGGTCTTTTCAAATCAGTCAGTTCTTCACATCAAGTGGCCAAAGTGTTGGAGTTGCAGCTACAGCATCAGTCCTTCCAAAGAATATTCAGGACTGATTTCCTTTAGGATGGACTGGTTGGATCTACTCGCTGTCCAAGGGACTCTCGAGAATCAACTCCAACATCACAGTTCAAAAGCATCAATTCTTCAGTGCTCAGCTTTCTTTATGGTCCAACTCTCACATCCATACATGACTACTGGAAAAACCACAGCTTTGACTACATGGACTTTTGTTGGCAAAGGAATATCTCTGCTTTTTAATATGCTGTCTAGGTTAGTCATAGCTTTATATGATTCAGCAATTCCATCCCTGAGCTCATATCCAAAAAAAGAAGAAAACTGTAAATCAAAAAGATACACGCACCACAATGTTCACAGTAGCACTATTTACAGTAGCCAAGACATTACAGCAACCTGTGTCCACTGATAGATGAATGGAAAAAGAAGATGTGGGGGGTGTGTGTGTGTGTGTGTGTGTGTTTGTGTGTGTGTGTGTGTATATCTTCACAGGCTCAAATGGAAGAAAGTATGGAAAACCACTAGGCCATTTCAGGTATAACCTGAATCAAATGCCTTATGATTATACAGTGGGGGTGATGAATAGATTCAAGGGACAACAGGGTCTGGTAAGAGAGAGTGCCTGAAGAACTATGGGTAGAGGTTCATAACATTGCACATGAGGGCATGACCAAAACCATCCCCAAGAAAAATGCAAGAAGGCAAAGTGGTTATCTGAGGAGGCCTTATAATTAGCTGAGAAAAGAAGAGAAGCTAAAGGCAACAGAGAAAGGGAAAGGTATACCCAACTGAATGCAGAGTTCCAGGGAATAACACACAGATATAAAAAAGCCTTCTTAAGTGAACAATGCCATGAAATAGAGGAAAACAATAGAATGGGAAAGACTAGAGATCTCTTTAAGAAAACTGGAGATACCAAGGGAATATTTTATATAAGTCAAAGTCACTCAGTTGTGTCCGACTCTTTGCAACCCCATGGACTATACAGTCCTTTGAATTCTCCAGGCCAGAATACTATAATGGGTAGCCTTTCCCTTCTCCAGAGGATCTTTTCAACCCAGGAATTGAACCCAGGTATCCTGCATGTCAGGCGGATTCTTTACCAGCTGAGCTACAAAGGAAGCCCAAGAATACTGGAGTGGGTAGCCTATCCCTTCTCCAGGAGATCTTTCCAACTCAGAAATTGAACCAGGGTCTCCTGTATTTCAGGTGGATTCTTTACCAACTGAGCTATCAGGGAAGCCCATTTCATATAAAGATAGGCACAATAAAGGACAAAAACAGCAAGCACCTAACCAAAGCAGAAGAGATAAGAAAAGGTGACAAGAATACACAGAAGAAGTGTACAAAAAACTCTTAATGACCCAGATAACCACGATGATGTTGTCACTCACCTAAAGGCAGACATCCCGGAGTGTGAAGTCAAGTGGGCCTTAGGAAGCATCACTAGGAACAAAGCTAGTGGAGGTGATGGAATTCCAGCTGAGCTATTTCAAAATTTAAAAGATGATGCAGTTAAAGTGCTGCACTCAATATGCCAGCAAATTTGGAAAACAGCAGTAGCCACAGGATTTGAAAAGGTCAGTTTTCATCCCAATCCCAAATAAAGGCAATGCCAGGGGCGGGGGGAGCAGCCGAGGGAGGGGACACGGGCTCATTGCCGAGCGCGCCCTGCACTCTGTCCCTCACTCGCCGCCGACGGCCTGTCTCGTCGCCCGCATGTCGCGTTGCTGCCCCGCAGAAATGCATCGTTTACCCGCAGTCCTTCGCCGGATGAGGCCAGTGTCCAGGGCACTGGCACCTCATCTCACTCGGGCTTATGCCAAAGATGTAAAATTCGGTGCAGATGCTCGAGCCTTAATGCTTCAAGGTGTAGACCTTTTAGCCGATGCTGTAGCCGTTACTATGGGGCCAAAGGGAAGGACAGTGATTATTGAACAGAGTTGGGGAAGTCCCAAAGTGACAAAAGATGGTGTGACTGTTGCAAAGTCTATCGATTTAAAAGATAAATATAAAAATATTGGCGCTAAACTTGTTCAAGATGTTGCCAATAACACAAATGAAGAGGCCGGGGATGGCACCACTACCGCTACTGTACTGGCCCGCTCTATCGCCAAGGAAGGCTTCGAGAAGATTAGCAAAGGTGCTAACCCTGTGGAGATCAGGAGAGGTGTGATGTTAGCTGTTGATGCTGTAATTGCTGAACTTAAGAAGCAGTCTAAACCTGTGACAACCCCCGAAGAGATTGCTCAGGTTGCTACAATTTCTGCAAATGGAGACAAAGAAATTGGCAACATCATTTCTGATGCCATGAAAAAAGTTGGAAGAAAGGGTGTTATCACAGTAAAGGATGGAAAAACACTGAATGATGAGTTAGAAATTATTGAAGGCATGAAATTTGATAGAGGATATATTTCTCCATACTTTATTAATACATCAAAAGGTCAGAAATATGAATTCCAAGATGCATATGTTCTATTGAGTGAAAAGAAGATTTCTAGTGTCCAGTCCATTGTTCCTGCTCTTGAAATTGCCAATGCTCACCGGAAGCCCTTGGTCATAATTGCTGAAGATGTGGATGGAGAAGCTCTAAGTACCCTTGTTTTGAATAGGCTGAAAGTTGGTCTTCAAGTTGTGGCAGTCAAAGCTCCGGGTTTTGGTGACAATAGAAAGAACCAGCTTAAAGACATGGCTATTGCTACTGGTGGTGCAGTATTTGGAGAAGAAGGACTAAATCTAAATCTTGAAGATGTTCAGCCTCATGACCTAGGGAAAGTTGGGGAGGTCACTGTGACCAAAGACGATGCCATGCTCTTGAAAGGAAAAGGAGACAAGGCTCAGATTGAGAAGCGCATCCAAGAGATCATTGAGCAGTTAGACGTCACAACTAGCGAATATGAAAAGGAAAAACTGAATGAACGTCTGGCAAAACTCTCAGATGGTGTTGCTGTGTTGAAGGTAAGATTCATTGTTGTAAATAAGCTGCTTGGGTTCTGAGCCCAAGTAAGCTAGGACTCTTGGCATTTGGCATCTTGAGTAGGAGAAGCCATACTAACTGGAGTTCTGTTTTGATTTTTAGGTTGGTGGGACAAGTGATGTTGAAGTGAATGAAAAGAAAGACAGAGTTACAGATGCCCTTAATGCTACCCGAGCTGCTGTTGAAGAAGGCATTGTTCTGGGAGGGGGCTGTGCCCTGCTTCGGTGCATTCCAGCCTTGGAGTCAATAACTCCAGCTAATGAAGATCGAAAAACAGGTATAGAAATAATTAAAAAAACACTAAAAATTCCTGCAATGACTATTGCTAAGAATGCAGGTGTTGAAGGATCATTGATAGTTGAGAAAATTATGCAGAGTTCTTCAGAAGTCGGTTATGATGCTATGCTTGGAGATTTTGTGAATATGGTGGAAAAAGGAATCATTGATCCAACTAAGGTTGTAAGAACTGCATTACTGGATGCTGCCGGAGTGGCCTCTCTCTTAACAACAGCAGAAGTTGTAGTCACAGAAATTCCTAAAGAAGAGAAGGATCCTGGAATGGGTGGTATGGGAGGTGGCATGTTCTAATTCCTAGAATAGTGCTTTGCCATTATTAATGAATTGTGAGAGGAAGTTCAAGGCAGTGTTCCTCACCAAGAATTTCAGGAGAGGTCAGTTGAAGGAGATGACTGAAGAAAAGGCTGGCTGATGTTTAAGAAAATAACTATAACCATCAGTTACTAGTTTCAGTTGACAATATAGAATGGTTTACTGCTGTCATTGTCCATGCCTACAGATAATTTATTTTATACTTAAATATATTCCCAGGGGCTTTTTCTAAAGGAGCAAAAAAGGATCTGGAGGTGGGGTGTCTGAAAGTTAAGGTAGCAATGGATAGTCTCTTCTCCTTTGTAAATAATACTTTTATGATTCATGTTTTCCAACTCAGGCTTTTTACATGGAATTCCTCAAATGGAAGGGGTAGGGGCATTCTGTTCTCCCTCCAAGTGGATAAGGGTGGGAAAAAGGTATTTACTTAAATTCACATTTCTTGAGGAGACACAAATGAGCCTCTGTTCTTTGCACTTAAATAGGTTAACTAAAATAAGGATATCCTACAAAATTGACATACACAGAAGTGAAAATGTGACTTGGCTAAACTTTGACAAAAGCATGTGCATTAGAAATAATTTAACTGAAAAATAAAATACAAATCTTGCAAAGAGATTTGCTTCCACCATGAAAATCTTGTAAAAATGTATATGTCTGAATGAACATTCTGAGACTAGAAAAGACTTTAGAAGTTACCAAATCTAATTTCCCCCACAGTTTACAAATCTTAAGTGCACCCCACAGATGATTAAGCTCTCTGTTTAAATACTAAACTTTCAGAGACTATTTTACCCTATCCATATGGTAGCCCCTTGCACTGTTGTGAAAAAGCACAGCTATGTGCTAATTGTGAGAAGGCTTTTCCTATGCTATAGTAAATCCTATCTTCCTTTAATTTATATCAGTCTGTGCCTCCCAAACAACAAAGACTACTCTTCACTTACACTGATACATTTCTTCATTTCATAAGGTAAATAGCCGCATTTCCTCCATTAGCCATTCTTAAATAAGCTTAAGCTGTAATAATAATACAGTTCCCTGATGCCTCCTTATCCTGTTGCATTCCACTCTGGTTGCCTGCTGATTTATCACTGAGTGAAGCCAAACAAAACTGACAATTGCACATTTATATTAATAAGCTTTCAAACATACTAATTTACTCCATGAAAGGTATAAATTCCAAATTTTACACCTATATACTTTATAGTCATATTCCACAGTAGACATGAAATTAAAAAAAGAAAATTTGCTCAGTTTTGTCCAATTCTTTGTAGCCCCACAGACTGTAGCCCGACAGGCTCTGTCTTATAGGGATTCTCCAAGCAAGAATACTGGAGTGGGTTGTCATTTCCTTCTCCAGGTGATCTTCCCAATCCAGGGACTGAACCCAGGTCTCCTGCATTGCAGGCAAATTCTTTACCATCTGAACCACCAGGGAAGCCCATGGTAGACACAATGCATGACACAATGATGTTCAAATCCTACTGGTTTTTTGCAAGGAGGTTATATCAAGTTTGGAGGATAATAAACATTTTATAGTCATCACTTCTCTAGGATCTGTCTCTTTCACATCTCAACCAGCTCTATGGATTGTGTCACTTTACTCAGGAGAAAAATCAATAGTAGAAAGTAATTAATGAGAAAGCAACAAATTTTGGTGCAAATAGACCAAGAAACACTGAGGTTTTTAATAAAAGTATGGTTGCAAGAGACCTCCAAATTTCCCCTGGAGGATTAGTGAACATGTTGAATATTTTTCCTTGATTTTAATTTAGGTCACATTCCCATTAGAAATTCTACTTAATTAGGGTTTCTGTTAAAATTCCATGATGCTAATTCAATGGAAAAATGCAGTAGTAGTCTATTAGATTTTTTGTGTTAACATTGCACACTTTCTAGAAATATATTAGATATTTTTATTAAAAGTTATAACTATCACATTCCAATTCTCTATTTCAAGCAGCAAAATTACTTTTATTCTTAATTATTCAATGAAGAACTATAAATGTACAATTCATTAAGAAGTTATTTAGCATGCAGTGCACTTGGCTGCTATGACCAAAGAATTAGTGCACATTTTCTTAGAAGGAAATGAAGATATAGCTTGATTTTTATTTTAGTAATTAAGAGAATGGCTCTTTATGTTCATTACCATGATATAAGATGCACAAGCCTATGGCATGTCTTACAGCACCAAAATATTAGGATATTTATTAACATGCTTATCTTGGGCATCATAGAGAGAAATTATTTGAATACATGACAGTATATTCAATTTTTCATATAAGTATTTTGATAGAAAGATTGGTAGTGACATGGCTGGCTCCCAACTCTTAGTTCTTTCTTGTCCCTTACCTCTAATCAATTTTAATTACAGGCTTTTATGTTTATATTTATTTATAAATTATATACATCTATTACTCTATCAACATACCATTATAAAAAGAACAAGAATACAAAATTTAAAGAATTTGATAAACATGAAGCAAATATTTTAAATATATATTTTGATTGTTATATATTATTGGTACAAGTTGTTTTGTGTTCACAGTTGCTGAGAACATTACTATTGAACAATGTGATTGTATCATTCTTGATCAGATTACCATCTTATTTACTCATCACTTGGCTTCAAGGAACTCCATACTAACAATAGAAGTGTCCTTTTGCTTACTTACACTTGCATTATTGTTTCATTTTTATTAAGAATTTCCTTGCAGAAACTTCTTTTAGGAAAGGAGTTTAATCCATAAGTCTGTTTTGCCAGGCTGATATGAGAACACAGTGAATTCTAAAGCACAGAATGTAAACAAGGGCAAGAACAAAAGTTTGGATTGAGGCCCATGAATTTGTATTTTTAAATGAATTCTCCAGAGGATTCTTTGTTTTCAAACCACAATTTGAGATACTACTTTGGACTCTGTAATCAATCAAAACTTGAAACTAACTTGAAAAATCTCAAGTGATTGGGTATTTCAGCACCAGAGCAAATATGCTCTTAGTCTTGGACTGATTCCACTGTTCAATTGATAATAGATGCGCTTCTGTATTTTCCATATGAAGTGAAAGAATTTGATATTTCAGTCTAAGAAGCATCTCTTAAGGTTTTTAACCTTCATTCTTTCCTCCTTGACATGCTCTGGATGGGAGCTGCATATTATCTATTGCCCTCTTGCTGGGTTCTGCAACGACGCCCACTTGATGAGCTTCCATGACCTCCCACCGTGACACACTGGGGTAGAAAAGAGACCTAACATGACCTGAGTGTCTAATGTGTGTGAGACATGATTTTAGGCATTTACCTTGATTATCTCAAGCAACGAATAATTCTAATAGGTAGGTGTTCTTATACCTATCTTTCATAGGAATAAATATAAATTCTAAGAGCTTAAATAACTTCAGATCACTCAGGAAGGAAGTGATAGAGCTGGTGTGCCTGATTCAAGACACTCCGCTCTTCTAGTATGTTGGAAGATTGGGACTGACGCACACACTACTATATATAAAGTAGATAACTAATAAGGACCGAGCAGGGAACTCTACTCAATACTCTGTAAAGACCTATATGGGAAAAACGTTCTTATGAATATATCCAACTGATTCACTTTTCTGTACCCCTGAAACTAACACAACATTGTACATCGACTATACTGCAATTACAAATAAAGAACTCTGTGCTCTTTTGAAGACACTATCCTGCCTTCCCATCACTCCTTCCCTACCTGGTGGTGGTTTAGTCACTAAGTCACGTCCGACTCTTGCAACCCCATGGACTGTACCCTGCCAGGCTCCTCTGTCCATGGCATTCTCCAGGCAAGAATACTGGGGTGGGTTGCCATTTCCTTCTCCAGGGGATCTTCCTGACCCAGGCATTGAACCCAGGTCTCCTGCATTGCAGGCAGATTCTCCATTGACTGAGCTGCAAGGGAAGCCCCAACCTGAACAGTGCTAAAAGCCATTAAGCTCTGTGCTCCTTCTAGTCCTTTTGGCAATAAGAACAAGCTCTTTTCTGATACAATTCTAAAATTAAAAGATAAAAATTTCTGGTAACAGAGAAATCTTGTATTTATGAATGCAGATATTTACTTATGGCCATATGTTAGACATACCACATTTACTTCCACTTTAGCCATTCTTCAGAATTTAGAATGGGAATGTGACAAATACCTATTCTTTTGAAAAGGAAATGAAATCCAGCCTGTTTACCACCCTTATACATGGTTATCTCACAATGGTAACCAAAATACTAAGTAAATCAGGGAAAATATCACAGGTTTTGAGTAAGCAAAGCCTAATTTTAATCCACCCATGACTTAACATAAGTAAACCTAAAGAAATAATTTTACTCCACAAATTGAAAAATCACTACCTGTAAAATGCAGATTATAATGTACATCCCAGAGTTATTATGGGGATTAAATGAGAACATATATAAAGTAACTAGGATAGCTAACAATAGGAAGCATGCTTAGAAAAACAGTCAAGGGCATGGGAGAAGATTAATAACAACAGTATATAAAGGTGCTGACTTTATATATTGTTATTTTTGCCATTACTGTAAAAATATGGACATTATTGATCATTTTAATCAGTGCTTAACTAGCTTCTTTTCAAATATTGATATACTTCTACCTATTTAGATGTAGCTTCTTTAATGATTCCAAAGTATAAATTAGAAAAATAAATTTTAACATTCTCTTTCCCTATGGCTTGAAAAAAAACACTCCCTGTGGCTTCACGCTATGTGTTTTAAGATTTATTGCAACCAATATAAGAACTCCCGGACAACTCAAGAAATAGAATCTTTTCTCTTTGTTTTCTAATTTGCTATATGTGGAAGACCCATTTTCATAACCAAAGGAACAAGGAACAGTCAGCAGAAACACTGATTTTAAGCATGCTTAGAAAAAGAGTCAAGGGCATGGGAGAAGGATGAGGTTAGAACGGAGTGAGTGAGATCATGGACTGGAGAAAATATTCAGGGACCATAATGAGGAAAGGCCCCAGAAGCAGAATGGAGCATGTGGTAAAAGGTAAAAGCACATTGCAAAATATAATTTGTACATAATATTATTCAAAGAAACTGAGATTAGTTTGTATGCACTCTGTGACATGGGGACAGGCACATGATCTGAAAAGAATGAAAAACTAGGCCCTGCAAATACACATACAT